ATGATATTTTTTAATACAAATAAAAATATATAGATAGATGTGTTTGTGTGTACAAAATAAATAAATAAAAATTCAATAAAAATGATTATTAATGAGGTAAAATGCATCAAAGCCTTTTGTAGGATTGATCAAAGCATAAAAAGTCCTTAAAAAAATTATTTAATGTAAGTAATCCCTAGATAAAATTAGAGATAAAATTTTTTTAAGTGAATTTAGGTTTTTATCCATTTTTTAAGGATAAAATATGTCAAGTCCTTCTACAACTACAACAAAAATAATTTTTGAATAAATTATTTAATGCAAATTGGATTTTTCTATTAAGTAGAATGAGGTATCACTACTAGCTAGACACATTATTTCACTCGATCCAAATTGAATGAAACCTAATCACCTATTTTGCTTATATCTCTCGAATTAGTAGAGGAGCAATAGTGCTATAAAAAGTTGAGAGATCAATTTTCAATTTTACTTGGTTTAGTGTCATTTGAAATGGAATAATTAAAGCTATTAGAATCATATTATTTGTCTCGGTAAAAGCTTCTACTTTAGTTTTTGTTTCATAAATGGATAGGTTGTTGCACATTTACGTAACGTGGCAATGAATATCAACTTTTTCAGTTTTGGGGTGAGGAAGGTAGAGAACTTGTCAAGTTAGATTTGCACATGCTAGAATTCAAGTTATCATCTTAGCAAATAAGCATAGTTGGAAAATGTACAAGAAATCCAATAACCAAGACCTAAAATTAAGAACTCGCAGTGGTAATTATTAGGATCTCCGCAAGCTAAACATGGACTTGTTCTCTAGTGCTCGAGTGCCGACATTTGAAGTTTTGCCTTCTCTTACGATCAATGTAGTATGATAAGGGAAGAGGTGAAATTTGATGAATTTTCGAAGTTAAAGTTTTTCTACATAAGGTAGTGTAGAGGAAAACTCGCTCTACTATTTTGTCTTGCCAATGGAGATGAAGTTTCAATATCTCTAAAAGGTGAGCGTTTTGTAGCATTATTATATCTATCGATGCAAGCATGTGGCTTTCTTCAACCATCACTATAGACCTCCTTCTGCTTATGACAATCATCATTAGTATAGTTAGAGTTATAAGAATACATGAGGATTATATAGTTATATTTAAAAAATTTTAAAAATCTTTCAACCGAGCATGTTAATAAAAAAGTTTTAAGTTATAAACTTTAACTTACTTGATTAAGTGGATTTTGACTGAATTAAATTTTTAAATATGAGATTATTTAGATTATCAAGCAAACTTTTTACATTAAGTACTTCAATTTAATTTTTTTAACTACTTAAATAGCTTATCAAACACACTCTTAGTCTTAATCAACATACAAATTAGTCGAAGATATCCCTCACTCGTCTAGTGATAAAAAAAATATACCATAGATCCATTTTATTTTAAATGAAAAGATAATTTTCTCTCGTAGCTCAAGCTAAGAAAAAAACAACACCAATAAAAGGAACTCAAATTGTATACCATACATACTAAGATATAAGACCGACAATAATATCTCAACATTTTCCAACTAAAAACATAAGGAACAAAGATATAAGAGAACAAAAGCATAAAGATATGTCCTAATTCTCAAGTTATATTATTATTTTATTATGACTAAAAGATATTGACTTGCTCATTGAAAGGGCTGATTGAGCTCTTATCCTTATTAGGTCTTATTTTTTAGCATAAGTCCAAACTTAGCTACGATCCATAATCCAAGGTTCAAGCCCAATTTATCGAAGCGATAACATTTAGCATTTTTTATAGGGATCTTAAAATAAAAAGCTATACAATGAAACATACAAAACAATCGAGCAATGACAATAAAAGAGCCTCATGATCAATGACAAAAAGGTGTAGGAGAAACAAAACTTAGAGAGAAAAGGTAGACTACTTATATGGATAATGATAAAGAAGATGGAAACAATCAAGTAAAGAAAGTAAAGATTCTACAATGAGAAAGAGCTTAGTCGGCTTAATAGTAAAAAAATTTTATAGTTGAACAAGTTTATGAGATGATCAATAAGGTCGTAGAAGAAGAAAAGGGGAGATAATCCTTGCATAAGTGTGAAAAAAGAGTCTTTTAGGAGAAGATGACAAATAAGAAAGAGAAAGAGATAAAAAAAAAAAAAGATGGCATATGAAGACGAAAGTTAAGGTGAGAACAGAGCATTTAGATTTAACAAGTGAAAAGCGAGATGAGACCGATGGTGGAAAAGCAAGCAAACAAGGCTTTAATGATGAAAGTATAGGGAGTTAGCTCGATGTAAGAATCTCCGTTAACTAGGAGACTTTTAAATGCTCACCTTTGAATGGTAAGTAGCCATCCTTAAATATGCATAATGTAATAAACCATCCTAAAATGACATTTAGTTAATATTTAAGTTAGTAATTTAAAAACAATTCGAGCTAGATATAAAAACGAGACAGCTTTGTTGTCCCTTATATTTTTCTTTCTTCTTCCCCTCTCTTTCTCATGTAATTCTCTCTAATTTCCTCCCATCTCCCTTCTTCAATTTCTAAGCTAAAACTTTGTTAAATTAATTTAGAAAAACCATAAACAAGTTGATTTAAGTGGATTTTAGTTAGATTATAGTTTGAAAAGCTTGAAAAGTTAGAATTGAATTGGAGATTGAAGAGCAAATTATCAAATGTAAGATTTTTATCATTGGATCTTTAAATTGGAATGTTCATATAATTATTGATGATTTGAAAGTTGGATTACATTGGATTTATTATTTGAATGAAGAATTAAGTTAGATTAATATTAGGGTTTTGAGACCCATTAGGAGAAAAGGTTGATTTAGTGATTCAAACTGATTAAATGAAGTTTAATGGTTTTGGGTTAGTGATTTATGAAGTTAAATTGAAGTTGAATTGAGTAAATTTGATTAATTGAGAGGCTGAATATGATGAATAGTGAAAAAAATCTAAATTTTGGTTTTGGATTGAAAAGAAATTAAGAAAAATAAAGAATTAAGTATATAAATGTATGCATTAAAGAGGTATGAAAAGAGATTTGAGTGAATTAGAATAGTATTGATGATTTAATTAAGAACTGATTGTTTAAAGTTTGAATTAAATTGGAAATTGATGATAGATAATTGAATTATTGGAGAGATTATAAAGTGAACTTAGAATTAGTTAGAAAATTGTCTAGAATTGATTGACAGAGTAAGAGTTTAGTTAAAGTTATCGGTTTGAGTCTTTCGATCAATTTTCATTCTTGTAGATAATCTTGTATTTCAATTTCTAGAATAATTCATTTGTTTTGAATTATTTTTTGATAGGTGATATTGATGGTTATTCCACCATCTTGTGTTATTAGATTCTTCGAAATGGACGACTTCATCATAACAACCTTCATTTCATTCAATTCTTCATTTGTACTCGTGAGTGGATATTATATAGCACGTTAGGTTTTTAAATTCCTTTGATATTTCTATCATGTATCATTGATTTATCTATGTTTTAATCATATTTCTTTGAACTTAGATGGAAATCAACCCTATGAGTATTTAAAATGATTTTATATCGAAAATAATTTGATGTGATTTAAAAAGAGATTTGAGCATATGTTTGAACAAGTATTTTACTTGGTTTGATATGTATTTATGGGTTTAAATGCTAATTTATATTACACCATTATTTTTATTATTCATCTAATTTTGTTAATCTTTATTTGATATTGAATTATACTATCACTCTAATTTTAAGCATGCATTGTGTTTGAAATACTTGGATTTAGAATATTTATAAGCTTATATGGTTTTTGATATGATTTGGTTACCTTGGGGCACCTAGCGATGGGTAGCATAACCTTTGAGCTTAATTATATGAGGCTCCAACTATTAGGAGAGGTAGAGTGCTAACCCATGTGTTGGCTAACATACAAAAACCTAGTCACAAATGGCATGACCTTTGGACGTTCGTATCCAATGATACGTTATATTTTCACTTCAAGTGTACGGCAAACTTAAAAGTATGATTTGATTTGATTATGATATGTAAGTGTAATTTAGATAATTAATTTGATTTAAATATGATATATGTATATATAAATGTTTTGATGATTTGATATGAATTAGTCGTGAGCCAATTAAGATTTGGTATTTATGATATCTATTCATTTTAAAGAAATAAACATTGTATCTTGATCCAAATTTTAAGTTATCATCCTTAGCCTATTTCTCTCCTTTAGATGTGTTATATAGTATCTACTTACTAGCTATTGATTTGGTCACCCTTCATAATTTTAGTTTTGTAGGGTTTGTAAGAGTGCCCTTTTAGCTTCTACTTAGTTACTTGTCTTGAAGTCGGCAGATTGATCGTGTGGCTTATTTACTTGTAATCTCTTAGAACTTGTGTTTGATTTTGTTATAATTCTTAGAAGCTCTGCAGTTATATCTTATGGGAGTTGTATTAGGAATTGATTATGGCTATGTTAGTTATATCTTGTGAGAGTTGTATTAGAAATTGATTATGGATATGTTTAAGCATTGTGATATTGATTAGTTAGAATGATGACTATAGATTTAAACTAGAAATGATACTTGGAGTGATACATGTTTGAGGATTATAGTTAGATATTTGAGACTTGCTTAAGTCGAGGTGAGCCTCACGAGTTCCTTCGATTTTCACACCAGTCATGGCTCACTCTTGGGGTTGTCACACATGATGGCCTATCTAATCCAAGTAACCACCTTAGTTATTTTAGGTTTATGATGGTCCTTTATAAGATGACCTACCCGATGATGTGTAAAGCATTCCCTCTATTTTAAAAAGGAGAGGTAGGGATTAGTTTTCAAACTCGCCTCCTTGGTGTATTTTGAACTTTTAAGAGCTTTTCAATCTTTTCTTAGGACATTTTATGACCAATAAATGACTTAAGAAAATGTTGTAATGCTTATGTATATATATATAAAAAAGCATTCAAAGTCATTAAGAAAGTTTATGATGAGGTTTTATGCAAAAACACCGAAAATAATGGACTTCATGGTGTCTAAAGCTATTTTGACATTTATATCGATTGTCTATGGTAAGGAGTTCAAAAAAATTTTGACACTTGACAAGCCAAGCTCCATGCAAGAATTGAATATGAAAGTTGAAAAGTATATAACTTGGATAAGATAATCGATCTATTTAATCAATTATCCGAAAAACAATAAGAAAATGAATAAAAGACAAGAAAGGGATCGAGATAGATATGATGGGTGGAGGATGAGGAAATCCTTAAAAGTAGTACCAATGATGAAGGGCCGAGGATTCCATATAAATAGTACTTCAATCAACTTAAGTTAAACATTGATGTTCTTGATCATTAAAGATAAAGATGTTCATTGTTCGATCTAGATAGTTTAGGAAGAGAGAGAGAGATTGATACTATATGTTTCATAGAGGATGCAACCATTTGACAAAACATTATAGGGTTCTAAAAGATAAGATTAAAATTCTCATCACTAGATGATCTTTAAGGGCATTTATCGATAATAAAGGAGTTCATCATAAAGGTTAGAGATAGAAAACAAAGGAGAATGTATTTGAGAGAAGGGTTGGGTATGAGAGAGGGATGCTCTTTTAGAGCTTAAGGTGGAAACTTTGGTAGAAGAATAGAAAAGACCTTTAAGAATATATGAAAAAGAAGAAGCCTTAACAAGAGTTGAGATCGTAGAGAGAGAAGCGAAGCCTATTGGATGAAAGATCATGCATCCTATGGAGGTACGGAATAAAATAAGAATTTCCTCCATATAAAGGGCCCAAGATCATACCATTGAATCAACTAACCATATATTTATGAATTAAAACAATGAATAGAGAATTACCTTTTATAGCTTAGATTTAAATTCTTTAGTATAAAAAAGAGTCGTCCAAGCATCCGACCTCTATTAATTATCCACGCAATCCAAGCAATCATAAAGAAATGCTAAAAACCGGTAGAGTCTTGCCTCTACATCGTCCGATTTATTTAGTGTTTTCTATAGAAATGTAATCTAGGTAATTTTGCGACAACCTAAAAAAAAAAGAAGAAAATGGCGTGTGTTAGGTTTTTTAGGAGAAAACTATTTTCTCCTTTTTTATTTTCTATTACTCGTGTACCCTAGCTCTCCTTGTAATCGTGTCAAATTCTCTCTCCCTAAACAATCATACTTATCGCCACATCTTTCCTCCAATTTATAGGAGAAGAGTTTCCTTATCTTCTAAGGATAATGAAAGGGGTGACAACTTATCCTAATTTGGACTTTTGGTTGTTGCATCCTAATCCTTCAAAAATTAAGAGTTATGTAATATGTATGCTTTTGATCTTTATCTTTAAACATTTATCCTTATCCAATAAGATTCATGTTTATCCTCTCATCAAAATATCTTCATGCTTTTAATTAACCCTATTAGCCCAAAATCATTTTGGTCTAATTAATTAATTTGGACTATCCAAATAAATAAACTTAGATAATTTTAGGGGGCTTGTATTAGGAAATAATTTTTCAAATTACCCTTAAATCTAAATTAGGAAACTAATTTCTATTTTAGGTTATTTAATTTCAAATTTGGAACTAACTTTCGAACTATAAAACTGATTTCTATAATATAAAGCTTTTCATTTTAGGAAACTTTCCGTTTTCAAAATAGGAAACTTTCAAAATTGAATTTTTTTTCAATATCTTTGCTTCTCTTTAATCATATGAAATCTTAAACTAATGTGTGTGACTCAATAGGTTCTCCGATATGTCGACAATGTATTAAGAACAAGAGACACCTCTTGATCTTTTGATACATAAGTAAAGATTGACTTCTAACAAAGCATCATGACTACCTAATTTTCTAAAAGGATTAATTAATTCATTATTATCTTTCACGAAGATGGTTACCATATAATTTAATCCTCATGCAACTTATCATAGTGTGATCTTGAACTTGGTTATAAGTCTTGTTCGATTATGATCACAAAAGTTTTCTTCTATTCTTAAATATCTTAGCTCTTGGAGTACACCAATAAAGATAAACCAATTATGCTTTATCCGTGTACTCATACTATGACTATAGATTTCTTAAGTAGGCATTCATTGAAATGTAATGTGATAACTCCTTTAGCATACAAGGAGTGACATGTCCTATTTTAGTCATCTACCTACGTTCATTAGATTCCTAGTGCACCCAACAAATCATCCACGTGTAACCCTTTACCGGGTCTATCAAAATGAGTGTCAAAGTGCATAAATCCTCTAAGGAGATAACCATAATGACTTCAAGTCAAAGGACCAGTTGTATTCATCTTGTATAAGATTCCTATAGACTAAACCATATGAGTTCTCATGTTGAGTCAAGTTCAGTAATATGTTCTCTAACACAAATCACTCAAGTGCTTACTTTAGCATCATAATGCCAATAGGTGTGAGATCTCCTACTACTATCGTATAGCATAAGCATAGCACTCACAAATCTAACCACATATAGTCAATGTTCATTCTTGACAATGCTATGACTTGGGACATTTAATGATGTCATTTATATGCATTAGTGTTTGTCTCATATCTTTTGTTCTATCACGATCAATAACTAATGCAAACATATATCATATAGACTTCTATCTAATTCTATTCAATTAATAAATATAAAAAAATTAATAGAAAGACTTCTTTTATTATAAATAATATAAGTAATGCAATTATACAATAACTCAAACTCATCCAAACATGGTTGGATTTTAGACACCTACACTAACATTGGATATACCAATGGGAGTGATAAACATTATCATTGGGGCTTAGGTATCAGATTGGGAAGTATCTTAAGCCAAAAAATATATGCAAGGTTGGTGATGATGACCAAGTAGTCTAGGAAAATGATTAGGTCAAAATCTTAAGATTTTCTTTAGTGATAATGATCCGGTAAAAGTACGGTCCCATCTTGATGACTCAATAGTTATAATAATGGATATTACAAAATTCACAATAAAAAGAGTTTTGATTGATAATGGAAATACGATTGACATCTTGTATTATAATTGCTTCAAACAAATATGATTTTGAATGAACAATCTAAAAGTTACAAACATGTCATTTTATGGATTCATAAGTGACTTAATCACCAAGATAGATGTTGTTTTGTTACTACTTACTATGAGAGATCCTCTAGTCCAAAGCACAATAATAGTAAACTTCTTAGTTTTAAGATGATCTTCAACATACAATGTGACACTTTGAAGACCGACCTTGAATTCGCCTAATACAATAGTTTCCACCTACCACTCGAATGATAAATTTTTCTATAAAAGAGAAAATAAGAGAACTAAAGAGTGATCAAGTTGTTCCCAAAAGATATTATTTGATAGAGCTTAAAACTAGAAAGACATTGTTAGTCAATACTTATATGTTTTGCACGAGGACACAATAATTTAACCTAAACCTATCGAGAATCTTAACTGGATGGTGTTTGATGATAATGATCTAAAAAAAATCTTTTATACTAAGAAAAAATCTAGATAAACAAGTAAGAACAAACATTGATAAATGCTTGAAAAGAATATAGATATGTCCGCATGATCACCGAAGAACATGCTAGAGATCCTTTAAGAATTAAACTCGTATAGGTTATATGTCAAAGTAGAATGTCAACTTGTTAAGTAAAAGAAAAGGTGTTTTGTAGAAGAACAAAGGTTAGTGATCAAAGAAGAGGCCGCAAAGCTCGCTAGATGCAAACTTTGTAAGAGAAGTAAACTACCCCAAATGGTTAGAAAATATGGTATTATTAAAAAAAAATCCAACAAAAAGTAGAGAATGTGTATTGGTTTAACATATTTCAATAAAGTGTGCCTTAAAGACTCTTTCCCTTTTCTAAGAATCGACCAATTGGTAAATGCAACAATAGGTCACAAAATGCTAAGTTTCTTAGATGCCTTCTTAGGCTAACAACGATTACTAATGAATCGGAAAGATGAAGAAAAAAATATTTTTTGTGAGCAATCTCAATACATATTGCCATAAGGTTATGTTTTTTGGATTGAAGAATGCATGAGTGACATATTAAAGGTTAGTGAACCGAGTCTTTTTAGGTTTTCTAGGTTAGAATATGGAATCTTAAGTAGAGAATACATTTGTAAAGAGTTTATAAGCATCTTAATATTATATTGGCTTTCAAAAAGTGTTTAAGGTGAAGAATAAATTTCACATGAAGTTGAATCTAGAGAAGTATGATTTCAAAGTCTAATTGGAAAAATTTTTAGGTTTTTTAGTTACACAAAGAGGAATAGAGGTGAACCAACAAAAAAAAATATTTCAAACTCATTTTAGGATATGAATCCACCAAAAACAATGAAGGGAGCTCATAAGTTGACAAGGTGAGTTGTAATATTGAATAAGTTCATGATCAAGTCAATGGATACGTATCTTTTTTTTTAATACTTAAAAATAATATGGTTTAGGCTCACCTCATCCGTTATCTTGAGTAGAACAAAACATAATGAGTATTGTATGTGTGTTTGGTTGTGTCGAAAAGAGTAATTATTATAGTTTTAATACGTGAGAGATAAAAAAAAACATAAGCTAGTTTATTACATTAGTAGAATGATGGTCAAAGTAGAAATAAGGTATACAATGGTCAATGAGTTGGCACTAGCCTTGGTAATAGTTAAACAAAAATTACGGTTATACTTTCATGTTCGGACCATCTATGTATTAACCAATTAGTTGTGGAGACGAGTCCTTCAAAAGCTCAATATATCATGAAGGTAGATTCAATGGTCCGTTGAGCTTAATGAATTTAACATATAACATAAACCTTCACCAGCCATCAAAGCTCAAGTTCTTATAAATATTATGGAAAAATCAATCAAATCCTTAATGACTTTTGAGCTAAAGTCGTTTGCATAAAGGTTGTTTGTTAATGGGTTGACTTGTAAAAATATGAGTGGAGCAATAATAATTAGGATTGGTCCAAAGAGTTTTCTAGTTTAGTACACACTTGAAGTTTGATTTAACAGACCTCAAACAATAAGGTAATGTAACACCCATTGCTCGAGATGCCTTATATGAAGGGTCACGATCGAACGTATTGCTACTAAAATATATATCCTTTCATTATTCTTAAACCTTGTTTTTAATTTAATCTCATTCATCATTAAACATATCAATTAAAATATGTCATCAATAATATAACTACATATCATCTCATTGACATAACATAAGTATTTTATTAAAATTTCATTCATACTCTATCTCAACATCATTACCATAATTTAAATTCTAAAAAAAAAAAACATCTTTCATCATCGTTCAATATTCATAAATAACTTTAACTTATTGTTCATATTCAGTTACTAAGTAATAATTTTCAACATATAGGAATTTAATATTTTTAAAACTAATAGTCATAAAAAAATTCATAAATTTTAAACAATTATACATAAACTCATATTCATTCATTAAAACATAACATAGTCATCATTCCTCTAAGAATACTCAAAGGCCGACTCGTGAGTCATTCGTCATCGAAAGCATCATTAACATTCTCAATATTTGCATCAATACCTACATCGCAAAATGAACGAGAGATACAAATATCTTAATAAGTCCAACATGTATGAATTTACATTAAAAAATTTCATTACATGAATGTCTTTTAAAATTCTTTTATATAATTGGGCTCGCTAAAAAAAATACCAAACTAGTGCACCATAGCCCTTAAGTTTGACTTGTCTTTCCCTAGGTGAGTCACCTTACCATACCACTAGGCTAGTAAAGTCTAACCTCAATAAAAACATGGAGTCACATTAACCTCGATATTTAACGATCAAGTCTCAACCTTCGAACCTTAACGTTTAAAACATCAATATTAGACCTCAACGAGTTAACCTTAACGATAAACCTTTACTTTTAACATTAAAAATTCAACATGCATTCAAAATATTTGTTCATAAAATGTCATTTATATACATACCTCATTTATTTACTTCAAATATTCTATTTCATTACAATCAATATGTAAAACATATGTATGCATATGAATGCATTTCAAAACCATCATAACACATCATTCACATTAAACACATAGCATTTACATATACGGTAGAGGTGAGTTAGTTTTACTCGATTCACGTAACATCATCATTTATCATAACCTCCTCTAATAGTCAGTACTTCGACTCTATTTAATACCTTGAACATACACATTATATAAAATAAGTAATTGAAATTCATCATATAACTCTAATATTTAATTTCATTAGTTCTTGTTCTTTCTTATAATTTCTTTCCTATGATATTTAGTATGGTAATTGCCTATTAATTATTTGTATCTTCTTACCTAATTATGTTGCATCATCAATTAATATTTAATTTTATATCTCATTATCAATTTCATCAATTGAACCCTAGTTTCATCATCAATTCTACTCTCATTCACTCAATTATCTTTTTATTCATCTTTAATTATATTTTTATAATCTAGTTCTTCATTTTCCTAAAATAAAATTACAATTCAATCCTTACATAAATTATCTCTATAACCCATCATCTTAACTCTGGAAATTTCTCAAATCCATAGTCCAATGATCAATTTCACATTGCTATTATCTTATTTCAAGCATCAATTAGTATAATTAATATTTTAATCATTAAATTTTCAAATTTAATCCAAACCCTAACTCAATCTTTAATCAATGACAAACCCGAGTACAAAATAACTCCAAACTAATCATTAAATACGTAGAAAAATCTTAAATTTAAGACTAAATAGCAAAATCTCAAACTTTATCAAATGAGTTTTCAAATTCGATTTCAATCTTTCAATCCCTCTAAGTCTCAAAGCTTTAATCTAGCTAAATATCAATTCAATCATCTTGTTTTTATAGTTCTCTAGGGTATTTAGGCAAGATTTTAGCATAAAAATGAAGGAAATTGAAGAAAATAAAAGGAAATCTATGGGTAAGAAGTGAAGGAGAAGAGAATGAAAGAAATTAGAGGGGTATAGTGTTGTCTCATTTTTCAAAACTAGGTAGTTATAATTTTTTTTCTATTTTTTTTTTTTACATTAATTCACCTTAAAACTCACTTCACCCTCTCTTCTCAAATTTCGTTTAAGACTAAAAAATTCCATTAGTGCAATCTATTTCTCTTAATAAATTTAATCAAACTTAACTAACTCTAATTATTCTATCTTTTCTTAATCTCAAAGAACATTTAATCTAAAATATCTCACATAATAAAAATAATTAAAAGATATCAATCAGATGCATAAATAAAGAATGAAATTAAAAAACTCCTACAAGCATACATATGTATAATATGAAGAAAACAAATTTGTTGTTATAGGTATAATATGAGGTCTTATTCATGGGTTTGAGAATGATAAAAGATTAGAAGTGGATAGATTGATAGTAAGTAGTGATTCTCAATTGATGGTTGGACTAGTAGTAGGAGAATATATGGCAAATGAGGAAAATATGAGGAAGCATTTATCAAAGGTAAAGAAAACAACGAGTAGACATGAAAAAGTTATGTATCAATAAGATCTCAAGGGTACGGAATGATCGAGTTGATGCACTTATAAAATTGGCATCCTAAGGTTTCATAGATCAAGATAGGGTTTAAACATCAAATGATTAGTTAAGCTAAGTATCAAAGAGTAGGTGTTATGTCCAAACTATAACACTCAAGACTTCGAACCTTCTTAGACATATATGTTTGTGCTATATGTGTGCACATTCCTATGCATATGTATGCATACATATTGTTAAAGTATGTGTGTGTTATACCTTATGTTTGCATTAATGATATGCTTATGTTTGGATTGATGTTACACCTTATGAATGTTTGGTTTTACAAATGCATGTTATTAAGTGTGCGAGGTGATAAGAGAACTTAAGTATGACAAATAAGATATTAAAGGCTTAAGTGAACTAAGTGACTATGTAATATGACGAGTTTGGTAAATCATTCAAACTTGGGGGACGTAAAAATATAACTTGATCAAATATCTCATACATGTGTTAACTTAAAAACAAAGCTTAATTAGTATGTCATACAAGTGTTAATCTAGGTTAGTCTATAAAACTTTACTTGATCGGGTGTCTCATATGTAGAAAAATCTAAACAATATATGTAAGTATAAGTGTTCCATACGCAATCCACATGGTAACTCCAAGCTTCCTTAAACCTTCTTAATTTTGACTAAGAGAAGAATTAAAAGGGAGAATAGCTAGGTTAAACTTAGAAAAATCTTGAAAAAAAATATAAGCTTAAGTATTTCATACATAATACATATGACAATTCTATCTTTTTTTAATCTTCCTAAAGTCAACCAAGAAGGAAGAAAAGAGGAAGGAAATATCTAGAGCTTCCTTAAATCTTCCTAAAGTCGGCCAAAAGGACTTATAAAAATAGGAGAATTCTAGGTCATTTATGACATATTAGCGTTAGTAAATATAGAAACAATAAGAGAGAAAACAAGAGAGGAAAATCAAATTTGCCAAGGAAAACATATCTTGGTCGAGAGGGAGAGAAAAGAAGAAAAAGTTTGGCCAAGAGGAAGAGAAAGTGAGTGGTGCTGAGAGGAAGGAAGCTTGAACAAGCTTATGTTAGAGAGTAAGAGTAAGGAAGAAAGGTGAAAACTTTTGAGAGTTTTCGATTCTTACAACACCGATCAAACCATAAGGTAAGTGTGGTCCAGCTCATCATAAGACATAGGTGTTATAAG